GATTACTACTTAATTAATTGACTTTATTATAAACATTAGTACAAACTTAATTAAATGATTAAAAATTTAATTATTATAATATTACATTAAAAATTTATAGTATTGATTATTTAATAGTTAATTCACTATAACATTACATTATAGTATGATTATATAATTAATTATACATTACATAATTAAATAATTACTTAATTGATTATGAGTTATGTATTATGTTTTAAACATAGTAATTACTAATTTGCTACATAAACATTACACAATACTAATTAAATGATAAGAAATTTATAATTATAACATTACCTTATAAACATTTCATTATAACATTAATTAACATTACATATAGTTAAATAATTACTCAATTAATTATAATATTATTAATTACATTTTATTATGATCACTTACTTAATTAGCATACATAGTTAAATGATATATAATTACATAATTAGTTATGATTATACATTACATTATAAACATTGTAATTTACTAATTACTATATTATTACATTACTTAATTAACGATTAAAAATTTAATTAATTATAACATTACCTTATATTTTATATATAATTACTTAATCAATTATAACATTCTATTATAAACATTAGTATATTAATCAAATGATTTGAAATTAATTAATTTAATATTAAATTGTAGATTTATAGTATGATTATTTAATTCATTAACAATTACATTATACTATTATAGTATGATCATATAATTATTAAACATTACAAATTAAATAATTACTTAATTGATTATGAGTTATATATTTTAAATATGTAATTTATATTTACTATATAAATATTAGCACAATACTTAATGAATGAAGTAAGAAATTTAATTAATTATAACATTATCTTATAAACATTTCATTATAAACATTAATTAAGCATTACATTAGTTAAATAATTACTCAATAAATATAATATTATAATATACATTATATTATAATTACTTACTTAATTATAGCATTATATAGTTAAATGATTACATAATTACTTAATTAGTATGAATTTAACATTCATTATAAACATTAGTAATTACTATACTATTAACATACTTAATTAAACGATTAAAAATTTAATTAATTAAACATTACTTTATATATTTGTAATATGATTACTAATCAATTATAACATTCCATATAAACATTGTATATAATTAAATGATTTGAAATTTAATAATTATAATATTAAATTATAGATTTGTAGTATGATTACTTAATTCATTATAACATACATTATACTATTTATAGTATGATCATATAATTATATATAACATTACATAATTAAATAATTACTTAATTGATTATGAGTTAGGTATTTATTTTAAACATTAGTAATTACTAATTTATTACATAAACATTAGCACAATACTTAATTAAATTATAGAAATTTAATTAATTATACATTACCTTATAAACATTAATTAAGCATTACATTTAGTTAAATAATTAATCAATTAAATTATAATATATATATACATTATATTATGATCACTACTTAATTATAGCATTTATAGTTAAATGATTACAAAAACTAATTAGTTATGAATTTATAACATTACATTATAAACATTAGTAATCTATTATACTATTACATTACTTAATAAACGATTAAAAATAATTAATTATAACATTACTTTATATATTTGTAATATGATTACTTAATCAATTATAACATTCCATTTAAACATTAGTATATTATAATGATTTGAAATTTAATTAATTATAATATTAAATTATAAATTTGTAGTATGATTACTTAATTCATTATAAATTACATTATACTATTAGTATGATCATATAATTATATAACATTACATAATTAATAACTACTTAATTGATTATGAGTTATGATATTTATTTAAAATTTGTAATTACTAATTTATACAAAACATTAGCACAATACTCAATTAAATGATAAGAAATTTATTAATTATAACATTACCTTTAAACATTAATTAAGCATTACATTATAGTTAAATAATTACTCAATTAAATTTTATATTTTATATTACATTATATATAATCACTTACTTAATTATACATTATATAGTTAAATGATTGCTAATTACTTAATTAGTTATGAATTTATAACATACATTATAACATTAGTAATTTACTATACTATTACATTACTAATTAAACGATTAAAAATTTAATTAATTAAACATTACTTTATATATTTGTAATATGATTACTTAATCAATTATAACATTCCATTATAAACATTAGTATATAATTAAATGATTTGAAATTTATTAATTATATATAAATTATAGATTGTAGTATGATTACTTAATTCATTATACATTACATATACTATTATAGTATGATCATATAATAATATAACATTACATAATAAATAATTACTTAATGATTATGACATTATATTATAAACATTAGTAATTTACTAATTTTCACAATATTAATGAATTATTATATTTTATTAATTATAACATTATATTATAAATTTATGGTATGATTATTTAATAATTATAACATTCTATTATAAAAAATATTTAAAATTAATTAATGATAACATTTAATTAATTAAATATTACATTATAATTAAATAATTATACTTAATTAATTATAACATTAAAATTACATTGTAGTATGATCACTTAATTAATATAACATTCAATTTACATTATGCATGATCACTTATTAATTATAACATTACTGTGTTTCTAATATTAAATTTACTAAATTATATTTGGTATATTATAAATACCCAATTAACCAATTATAACATTAAATTAATAAATTTATAAACATTAATAATTTATTAACTTATCAAATAGACCCCTGGCAAATGGCAATGTTAGTAATTAGTATTAAGAATGTTGTTTGTTTAAATGATTTGGTGAAGTTATTTTATGTGAATTGTGATGAATAATGTTTGTGTTTTGATTTGATTGACGAATTTTATGGGAATTGTGATGAATTGATGAATTCAAGCGTTGCTTAGAGATACAGGTTATGAGTTACTGGACACAAATGAATTAATAACGAAAATTGTTAGGGGTGTAGTTTGTAAACTTATAAAGTGTTTTTGTTATTTTTTAAACTAATAGGGGGGTAATTGATTTTTTATAGGGTACCTGGAAAGGAACCGGAACCTGTATTTTAGGTTCCGGTTCCTTGAATTGAAGAACCTGTACTGTGCGGTTCCGGTTCCGGTTCCCCGGAAAAGTGCAGGGTACCCGGAACCGCTCACCCCTAGACACGATTTAGCAGTCAGCACGACGATTCGATCTCCACACAGTCTCTCATTCCCGTTATCGTCGATGTGAGCTCGCGGATTCCATCTTACCATCGCTGATTTATCTCGCCTCTCGGTTGTCAGATTCTCTCGTTTTCCATCACAACCGTCTTGTTATTGCCGATTTGAGCTTGCAGATTCATCGCTATCGTTGATTTCATCTCGCCTCCCAGTTGTCGACTTCTCTCGTTTTTCGTTAGAGGTATGTACTATATTGTAAATGATTTTTCATTCAATGGATGTTTTGTCGTTGACGATTGATCGATACAAATAAAAAAGGGGTTAGAAGAAGAACAAGACTTGACCAAATGACCCTACCTTTAGTGATGAATATATAGTTTAGTTGATGATTTTTAGCTTTGAATTATGTTATCATATATTATAAAGAGTCTGACGTCATGAGTTTTAAAGACTTGATGAAACATACCAGTTTAGTTGATGATTTTGTCCAAGAAATACCTCTTTTGTTTCTGGAATAATAGTGTCTAGTGTTCTTTCCACAGTTTTTCGGGTCTTCGTCACAAACCAGAGCCAAGAAATTAAAGGAATGCAAGACTCAATTATTAAGATAAACATTATGCTTTAAACTTTTCATCAATTTTTTTTTTTTTTTAATCAATATTAACATGCTTATTAATACATGACAATGTTACCAATCACCATCTCAAAACATGATATGATAGTCAACAGTCAGTTACACTTAACCAACTTATTTGTACATCATTTACATCAACTAACATCAGCATAACAGTGGTGAATCTCTCTTCCTAACCCATATTTTTCTTTGATGACCTCGTACTGTTGTAAGAAAATATTCCTGCAATAAAAATCAGGAAACAATATTGATTGTAATGGTGATAATAAGTGCAGCTGCAACAGGACAATTATGCAAAATCTCATATTCTTAGCAGTGGCATCCATAACAAGCATAAAATGTACTGACAAATAATTTGAAGAAGCAATGTTCCGTTCTTTTTCCTTAAAAGTTTAAAAGCAGGAGAATAGTACTTACAAGGTTCTTTAATTAATTACTAATGGTGGTTGGTGAAAATTTAAAACTTAGACATTAATATACATTCACAATGCGTATTATTTCAAGTGTGCTTGGTAAGCACATTACAATTTAGCACCTAATTTAATACTTCACTTAAATAGATCAATTAATGCGCAATGTTGAGATTCTCTATTTCTCTTTCTTTTTGCTAACAATGGAAGTGGGTTTAATTTGTAAGGCTGAATTTGTTTAATGATATTCATACTTTTGTTCATTCTTTTAAGTTTCAACATGTACACTCAAAACTCTTTACTTGGTAAAAGAAAAGGCTTAGACGAGAGTCATCGAAAAAATTGTTGATTGTGAGTTTTCATATTTCTACAACTCCGGATCCGGTTGAAAGTAACCAACTGCAATCTCCAGTTGCAAATATTGAGGAAGCAACACATGTAGTAGATAGTCCTTGTACAAGCCCTCTCCGAAATCTCCCTAATGATGATTGCGGTAGCAGCGATACTAGAATGTCAAAATCAATTATATGACAACGTTTCAAGAAAGTTAAAGTTGATGACAAAGATAAGGCAGAGTGTAGCTATTATGGTAAATGACTTGTTCATCTTGCTAAAAACGGGACAATAAGGCACTTGCATGATCATTAGAAAATCTATCCAAGGTGAAAGTATAGAGATATAACATAGAAGATTCTTGTGATGACCTAGAAAGAGGATTCAAAGTAAAAAATGACCTTAACTCCTTATCATTTTGATCAAGAGGCAGGGAGGAAGGACCTTGCAACTATGATTGTTCTATATGAGTATCCTTTGAGCATGGTTGATCATTATGGGTTTAGAAGATTTTGCAACACCGTTCAACCGTTGTTCAAGGTTGTGAGCAAGAACACTATTAAGAAGGACATAATGAAGATTTGTGATGTAAAAAAAAAAAAGAAGACAATGAAATTGGTAAACAAAAATCGGAGTAGGATTGATATCACTTTGGATTTTTGGACTTCCAACAATCAAAACAAATGATATATGACTATCACAACACACTTTATCAACAACAATTGGGTGTTACAAAGTTGACTCATGAGGTATTATCTTTTAAGGTTTTATTATTCTTATTTTTAGTACATTTTTTAGCTATATTAATATTATTTTCTATGTATAATTGATGTTGCATGTTTGTATATGTCTTGCCAACATACTAGACATGTGCTTGTTGCGATGTTGATGGACTGCTTTTATGAGTGAAATATTGATAGAAAGTTGTCGACATTTGTCGACATTGACGGTTGATTATTACTCCACCAATGACACGGTTGTTGAAGATATCTTGAAGTACCTTCGAAGTGCCCCACTTGTGCTACATGGTTCATTGTTTCAAATGCATTGTTGTGCTCATATTCTGAATCTAATTGTTCAAGATGGCTTATTGGTGATTGGACAAGCAATTGCAAGAATCTGTGAAAGTGTTGCTTATTGGTCAACATTGCCCCAAAGAGAGCAAAAATTTGTTGAAGCATCACATCAAATGGGCATTGAAAGTACGAAGAAGTTGGCTCTTGACTATAAGACTCGTTGGAACTCAACTTAACTGCTTTCATTTACAAAGAAGTATTTTTTTTTGTTTAAAGCTTCATGAGCCACAATATAGATGTTTGCCAACTGAGGAAGAATGTTCAAAATCGAAAATATTTTATGATGCCACACTATTGTTCTCCGGAACAAAATATCTAACGTCTAATCTTTATTTCCCAAAAATATGTGAAATTAGACTTGCGTTATCTAGTTGGCTTGGATTGGGAATGATTTGATAAGGAATATGGCAGCACAAATGCGTGACAAATTTTGCAAGTACTGGGATGTGATTCACGGTCTCAAAGGGCTAGCGAGTGTGATCTATGGAGATGATGGTAAAGATCATATTGTGAGAATTCAAGGATTTTGTTCAAATTTATTTTGTGAGTACCAATCTAAGCAAGGAAGTAGTCAAGCTCATCCTTCTTACAATGCATCTTCTTTGCAAATCAATATTCCTTATGGTAAGGAGGGATTCCTTATTGGCTTTGAGATGTTTATTGAACAAGAATCTAGTCTTACCGAAGGAAAGTCAAAATTGGAATGTTACTTAGAGGAGAAACTTTTGCCTAGGATTCTTGACTTTGACATTTTGGCTTGGTGGAAGGCAAATGGGTCTAAATATCCAATCCTACAAAACGTTATTCGAGATATCCTTGCTATTCCTATCTCCACAGTCGTTTTTTAGTATGCAAATAGCACGGGTGGAAATGTAGTAAGCCCATATTGCGATAGACTTTAATCTGATACATTATGGGCGGATATAAAAAACGATTAGATCAAATTTTTATTTCTTCAACAATAAATAAATAACATATATTAGGATGTCTTTAATGTATATTTTTCATTCTTAATATGTCAAACATTCATATTCAATAATTTATGATGACACTGATGAGGAAGAAGATGAATTCTGATGATAGTAAAGTTGTGGTGTGGTTGTTGTGCATGTGTTGTTTTCAGGGGTAAATCACATATTTTTTTATGGATTTACCATTTGGTTGTTGAGTTTTATTTGTGAGAGAGTTAGGAATTTTTGGACTCATATTTTGCGTTGTTTGTTTATGTTTTTTGGATTGAAAATTGTGATTCTGGGAAGTCCATCCATTTGTTGATTTGAAGATGTGCCAATGTGGTTTGACTTGATAAGTTTTGTTTTGGAAACTAGTTGTTAGTTTTCTTACATGAACAGTTGCTGAAATGTTTGTACTTCACATATATTTGATATTCTTTATAAGCATGTTTCAATTTATTTGCTTTTGTTGTGGTGATTTACCTGTTACTTGATCTTGGTTGAAGATTTTTTATGGATTTAGCATTTGGTTATTGGATATTTGGTTGGAGATTAAAAAAAAAAAAATGTAATAGGGAGAATATATTAATATTTAATTTATAAGTTAAAGACTTTAAGGTCTAGAGATGACAACGGGGACAGGCCCGAGGAAAGGGATCCTCGGCCCCTCCCGCCCTGTTGCCATCTCTAATTTGACATTGGCATGTAAATAAGAGTAGACTTAATAGATTGTGTGTTGATGTTTCATAGGTTAACATATTAAATGGGATGAGATATTTAAAATAATATTTAGGATGTGAATTGTGAAGTATTATTCTTAGCATTACGTTTTGAAAAAATGATATTACCCACACAACTAAACTTCATTACCCTACTAATTTTCCTAACTACTTAAATTAAATATAATTTTAATAGTGATTTTTAAAATGGATTTTCTAATCAATTTGTTAGTTTTCATTGTATTTCTCATATAATTATATAGCAATCCATTGATTTTCTGTCAAAGCTATAAAATATTATGAGATAAAAAACTAATCTTCAAGATTTTTATTGATTTGTATATTCAAAAATTGTGTCAAAAACAGTTTGTTGAGTGCAAAATAACTCACTCTCACATTGAATAAACACACATTTAACATAGTAAAATGTGTGTTTATTCCACTCAATAATCTGTGAATGAAAATAAAAATATTAAAAACCTTAAGAATCTCAACTTGTAACCAGGCTTGAAATTTATACATTCGAGTTCTCCATTTGTGTGGAGGAAGATCATCAATAGTAAAAGTGTGGAGCTTTGCTGAAGCTGTATAAGAGTCATGCTCAACCGTAGTATGACGGGATTGTCGATACATAGGCGGAGAGTTTGGAATGGAATCATCACCTTCAAGCATCTCATCATCAACCTCAGAGACAACAGGTGGTCTTGAAGATTCGGGTTGATGGGTCATCAGTTTGGGATAAACATTAGGATGTTGATCAGAAGTAGCACTTTTAGAGTCGAAGCCACTTTCAAATTATTCATCAGTCGAAGGCATATCAGCTTCCGATTCTGTTTGGAAGGTAGATAGAGAATCCTGAGAAATATTTGAAGCTGCAAGACGTTGTCTTTCTGCCATGTCTCGCAGAAAAGAGCTCATAAAATTGGAAGAGACAAGATTAGCAGAAGTTTGACGATCTTCCATCATCATTATTTGCATTGGAGCCTTATCCTTAGATAAATGACGATGAGGCTTAGGAGATGGAGGATCAGAATGATTGGAAGAGAATATCATTGGATGGTTTCTACGTTTTAGCAGAGTATTTTTCTTACTTCTTTTATTCCCATTCTAGCTTGATCTTTTCATCACGTTTTTTGTGGAGCTTGGCATAAAACTATTCAATGTTGCCAAAAGCCTGAATAGCACCAGAAGGTTTATGAGGTGAGACCAAAGGTTGACTAATCTTTGGGAAAGGTGAAAAGGGGGTTGTGGCCATGTTGTTGAAGAATAAAAAAGATTTGGTACCAAAGACATTTCAGGAAAAGTCTGTGGTTGTCTGAGTTTTTACTTAAGATATTCCTGCTAAAGCGATGCCATTTGGGTTTTTAGTGACTTCATTTCTACTTCCTTCTGGAGAAATTGAGCTGAATAGCCATGAGAGGTGCTGACAATGTGCATTAATTCTTGATGGAGTTGATCAATTTGGTTTTGGAGATGATCAATCTGTTTTTGTAATCGAGAAATTAGCATAGTGTGGTTCTGAGACTGAGAGCCAACCTGATGAGCTACTAGATCCAGTTTTTGTTCAATTGTGGTAATGGTTTTGTTTTGGGCTAAAGCATTTTCAGTTTGCCAATTAAGAACTGCTTCAGCTTGGGAGAGTTTTGGAGTGGATCCATCAGGTTGTATGACTTTGGAAGGAACCACTTTTGGTTGTTGAATCGCAATTTCCTTAAGAGAAGGAAAGTTTGTGTCATAATTGAAAATTTGTCCTGTCTTTTGGGGTTCAAGAGATTGAATCATCATAATGGGTTGAACATGTGGAGTATGAACAAGGGGTGAATGGGTTGGTTTGTTTTCTTTTGCAATCCACTGGAGAGCCTGTTGATAACATGGTAAAGGTTGTTTAAAATAAGGTGTTTTAGCAGGTTTGGATAGTTTTAAAGGTGATTTGGGTTTAGGTTTCGGAGGGATTTCCCATGAAGGATTAATGGATGGTGAGTCTTTCCAGGCTGGTGGAGAATATTTGACATAATAGTCAAATTTACCAGATGGTTAACCAAGAAGGTCAACTTTAGGATCATGGTCTTCAAATCTAGAGTGAAGATCTTTTTTACTGCACCGAGCTGTCTGTTTTTCCCGTCTGAAATGGTTTCGTCTGGAAAGATCATGCTTGTCTAATTCCCAAATAGGATCATCACAACGGTCTGAGCATTAGCAGTCAAGATCAAATGGAGTGTGACTAGTGACTGGATCAAACCGATGATAGATAGGAGTACCAGATTGTTGAAATGAATGAACAGAAAGTCCAACTTTCCGTACTACTGTAGCTGGTAAGACTGGAGTGATCATGAATTGAGTTTGTCGAAAACTCAAAGGTGGAGCACTGGGAGTTGCTAGAGACTTAAATCTGATAGTTGTTGTTCTGTCACTGTTATCATGCATGGTAGATTCTGTAGAAATAACCGGAGTTTCTTTTTTATTAAGAGACTCATAACTCATCACCCAAGAGTTTGGTAACAATTAATCAAATCATCTCTGGGAATATTGATGTAGTAAGGAGTATTCTGAGAGTCCACAATAAAGAGCAATGCATCAATAGTCGTAGGAATAGCAAGATCAAGGGCATGGTCTTGAATTCGCCAAACCATTTGATAATACAAAGTAGCTACAATACTCCTTGGATTTAAACCTGTACCAACTATCTGTAATTGAACTTTAAGAGCTTTGGAGCAATGAACATCAAAAAGAGACATATTGAAATTAGGAAATAGTGTTATAATTACTATCCCAACATCAAAGTTGTTTGTGCTGTTCCTATACAAGCATGTTGATATTAGACAAATCTGGTGTCCAACAAAGCGATTCGGATAGAAACTGGGAGTCCTTTTCTGCCATGATAAGATAGAGCTAGTCAGATAGTACCAAAGTGTACATGAGAGTATCCTTCACAGATCCATTGGGCAATGGAGTCTTGAGAGATTTCGAAAGTAACATATTGTTCTTGAGTTGTGGCTAGAATTTGATACTTATCAAAAGTACTAGTCTGGACATACTCTTTGACTAACTTTTTGGAAGGTCTAACAAGAGTTTTAAAGGTTCTAGACAAAGAAGAAAAAGACTTGGAAAAGGTTGTATAAGGATTTACAATGGGGGGAATAGTATCTTGGATTTTTTGATTTTCTGGGATATAAGATATTTTATACAAACTATCTACTTTAGAAGAAGATCTAGATAAGCTAGTATTTATGGGAGCAGTAAATGTAGATAAAGCTGAAGAGGATTTCATATGCGTGAGTTCAACCTCGTAGATGTGTAATACCACCTCAAACGGTAAGAATAGCTCAAGACCCAAACATTAGTAAGAATAGCTTAAGACCTAAACATTAAACATAAAACATAAAACATAAACAAAACTTAAAGGAGGCAATATCCAAGGGGAGTAATCCTCTGCACACGTAGAAATTGGAACCAATAAGCAACTTAAAGAAGCCAATATCTGAGGGGAGGTAATCCTCCGCGCAC